TTCAAAACAATAAAAAAAGTGTCATGTTAAAATTTATACTTAATACATATGTATTTCTACCGTATCTTAGTATTTGGTATCTCTTCTGCGTATGTTTGTCACAACTTGAATATAACATTTTTCTAATCTGACTCACATCCTTGACGGGGCATAGTTGGAATTTTTCGGCTTCGCAATAAACGTTGTATAAACCAATACGATTTGTCAATTTCCGTCATCAAAAGTTGGCACATTTTCAATACGAATGTTACAGAAATATGGAAAAAGAGTACAAAGTGTCGTGTCCAGGACAAATAAAAAATCGTAAAAATCAAAGTTTGTAAATGAGCTATTTTGGAGATAGTAAATGTGCTTATAGAGGTTATGCAATGCTGCCATTGCTGCCAACCGTATATCACTAAGTATATCGTATTTAAAGATTCTTCTCAGTAAAAAAGACCTAGAGCTGCTACGTTAAAGCCCATAATTTTAACTATTTTGTTGGTTTTAACCGTTATAAAACCTAGTTTTCTTCTAGTTGTTGCCCATTTGAATTTACAAGTACACCTGATTTAATATCATAATTATTAATCTGTTATACTTCTGTACGTTCAGTATCCGCCGTATTTTGTCAGCTTGTGTGAATAATACTCTCTTTTTTAATGCTACCTTGGCTAAGGAACAGGAAAAGGTAACAGTCTCATATTGCAGTGATTGATGTAATTAGTGCTACTCGTTTTAATGATGGCTGCTCTTTTATGTAGATGTTTAACATAAATTAGCATGGCGACAATTTGCATGCGTAATTATTCCCTTGGTAGAATGTGTACTGTCGTGTCATAGACCATATAAGAGCATGAAAATTAGGAATGGGAAATCGTACCGTTGATTTTTACCGTAAAACTGTATATAGTTTACACCGCTCAACCGTAAAGAAAGTAGATTTCTGGCCAGTTGTAAGGATAATAGATCGGAGTGTTCTTGACTGACTCATCGATTAAAAAAAATCTTTAAAACAGTGATTATGCATGTTATCGTTCTTGCCTTATAAATGTATTATGTATTTCATCAGATTCAAGCAACAATAAATTTCGAACAAGTTACATTTTCGTTGCTAAAAAGATGTCGCGTCTATTTTCGTGGAAATGGAGGTATTTTTGAGCATTTACTCAAATAAAATCATTAAAATGATTATGTACTAATGTTATTAATTTCTTTACTCGAATAAATAACCGAATGATCACCCTGTATAGATTCGTAAATGCTGCTATCTGAATAAAAGTTAACATAGTACCTGATGGCGTTTCGCTTTTTAATTAACTGACATCAGCTAAAAATGTAGAGAAACATGACGGAATTCCTTGAATACTTTTACATATTTTAAACTTAAATTAACATACGTACTTTTAGTGCAGCTTCTGTCCTTGGAAAAATTTCGCATAAGGTTTATTTAGCGTGGCTGGTATTTTATATTTTTTTCTGTGGAATTCTTAGACCCACAGAGAAAGGAGGAATCTTCCTTTTTAATATGGTTGACTTGCTCAAGGTCACAGTTTTTTTAACCCTCTTAAAACTGACGTTATCGTTTTTTCACAAAAAAAAAATTCGATGCAAGAAACTTGATTTAAAAAAAACTTGAGGTAACTTTACAAATAATGAATAGACTGAGAATATTTTCAATTGTTTTAACTTGAAGTGCTCCAAAGAAACTCTCAAGAGTTCAAACCGCATATAAATATTACACAAACACGTGTCTGATATGTTGGAATTGTTATGGCGATTTTCCACTAAACTCTTGGTTCCATCAAGTGGGCTACATTTTGATCGAGTTTTGTTTTCAGTCCTTTTCCACTGGTTGCCGCGAGAAAGTCAGAACACATTTTTCCAATAACCAGCCAACATGTTTAGAGATTTTTTTATTCCTAGTTATGGCTGGTTTATACTGAAGCCCTTGGAAAAAAGTGTGTCCACAGAGTGTCCCATCTCGAACTCCATCGATGGATGTCTGGGATACCGCTCTAAGGATTTTTTTGAAATTGTGATGGTGTGATACGGACCGTGGGGCCCACCAAGTTAAAATATTTTCAAGGTCATCGTACTTCCGGTTACACCGGAAGTCGATACTAACTTTCTTATTTTAAATGAAACCCCCTGTATATTATTGCATTTTTGGAAACATCATCCATTTTTAAGTTGAAAACATATAGCACACTTAGGATTGACCGTTTCCGAGATATTTCGATTTTTAAACAGAAATTGACAGATGCAGACTGTCAGAAAAATTTAGTTTTCCCGGTTTATTTTTTTGTACAAATTGGACATTTTGTAGAGAAAGACCTACTTTATCGAATTTGACATGAAAATGTTCCAATTTTTATACAGGGTGGTCAAAAAAAATTTATCGAATATGAAGTTCAGAATATGTGGAAAACTCGAAATTTTAAAATGGAAACCCCTAATTTTTTGCAATAATATACAGGGGGTTTCATTTAAAATAAGAAAGTTAGTATCAACTTCCGTTATAACCGGAAATACGATGACCTTGAAAATATTTTAGCTTGGTAGGCTCCACAGTCCGTATCACTCCAACTGTTGCAAACACGCCAATCTTCAAAAAGTTTGCGAAAAGTTACAGTTTTGTTTTATTCGACACAAGTTTGTGTTTTGTTTTTGTTTTGTCCGTTTAGTGGAAAACCGCCTTTAAATAATACAGACATTCAAAGCAATGTCTTGTATTCGTGCTGCTAAAAAACAGCTACTACAAAGATATCTTTTTGCTTTCGCATTTTTTACTTCGGATTGTCTCATATTTAGGTAGTCTCCCTTTTATAGAATTAAATATTAATACAACAGCATTATATGTAAACATTAAATTTTTAGGAAAAAAACGACATTGGGAGGTAGTTCAATGATGAATAAAAGAGTTTATGTTTAAACATGTACAAATGCAAATTAGGTTTGTGGCTTTTCAGCCCGATAATATGCGGTAATTTATTGTTGGTATCGCCAATTGATTGAATAATTTTATGGTTCAGCAGCCACTAATTCGTCGAGTGGGTGTGTTTTTTTTTCGCCCTGTACGAATTTCTAAACTCAAATGTGACAAACAGTTTTATGATGGTTACATAAATTATTGTATCAGCTAGAGGTTAGAAGAGATTTTTAAGTCTGCCTGTCGCTTGAAATGCTCTACATTTAATAAATTAAAAGCAATGAATTCTAGAGTGTATTTTAATAAGAAAAAAATATTGCTGAATATAATATATTTATTGTGTTTATTTACAATATAAATAATAAATATAAATACCTACCGATTTATTTACGGAAAATTATAGTGCAGTTCGGGAGTCTTATGGAGATAATGCAATTGGCTATGTGGAATGTGGAATGTGGAACAAAACACCACTTGAATTTTATTGAATCCATTACAATCTGGAAATTATTAATAACTATCACAAATTCTATTAATTGATAGACTGCTGTCACTAGTGTCACTACTGTCACTTTTGTTTAAAAAACAGAAAACAGGGCATCAGGGTTTGATGAACAAATTGGATATATTTTTTTCTTCTTCAAAATTATGCAATAGGATCGCTACTAGCTTCTTGTTCAATTGTCCCTTATGACGTCAGACTAGTTTTTAAGTAACACAAATATTCATAAATGATTTCTACCATTAATTTATCATATATTTAAAATATATAGGCAGGTTCTTTTATATAAAATCTTTGTATCAACAACAATTTGTATGTGGTTTGTTGTTATAGTCAACAACCCTATTATATATTTGTAATTCATATTCTAAGAGCGTTTAATTCCAAATGAGCTCGGAAAGTGTAGACGAGCATTTACCAGGGGAAGTATTGGAAGCGGCACAAAGTGCTGTTACACAATTAATTAATCCCCGAAAAATCGTCGAGACAGTGTGAGATTGCCTACATAAGGTGATGTAGTTTGAAGAAAAGCGTTAATAAAATTAAACCATCGACGTCATGGTTAGTATAATCCATGTTAAAAAATACAATGAATGCTAAAAAAATGTAAATATCACAAAATTTCCAAAACTAATACCATATTTGAAAAGCAAACTAGTTGGATATCGTCCGAAAAAGTCCAGAATAAAATAGAACGATAAAATACAGGGTGTTCCATTTGAAAAATTTTTGTTAAATCAATTTTAAACTCTAAAAATGATAAAATATCGATATTAGCTAATATAGGAGTCTTTGCCTAACATTTGCCTATAACTCTGTCAAATATTTTAGCTCCAAGTGTTATTAGTAGTTAATACAAGTTAATACAACATCTTTGAGGTCTTGTTTTTTCCAAAATTCGAAAAATTGTCTACATAACTTGGCAACCCTAAAATGATAAACTGTGTATATTGCCATAAACAGAATTTTCTCGGAAATCCATATGTGTAAAAATATACAGGGTGTTCCGTTTAACCCTGTATGTATCAAATTAATTTTGTAGTTTAGGTTTCTTCATTCTGTATAACTTTTATATATACTTTTTTCTGTATTATAAGTAATAAGGGAGTTATTTTACTTTCTCACACTAATGGCCCGCCCTGTATATTGTTTAGTTAATAAAATCATAAATAAGTTTCGGAAAAATTATAAACTATTTTGACATTTATTTTATGTTCTAGAACGAAGAAGACTTTGCCACTCTAGAACATAAAAGTGTTATGCAGCTAGGTGGCAACAAAGACTCGCTTTGTCAACGAAAAATTTAACGAAAATGTCGACTTTTGAGGACAATTTTCGAAAAATGTGAAAGCATGAAATTGCTTGTACTTCCAAAATGTGTCGGTGTTTGTACATTGCTTGACAGTGGTTCTCTAATTTGACTCTTGTGGCTGTAAAACTGTTTCACTTTCAATTTAAAAGCTTGACCGAGTGCGTGCTGCATTTTTACGTTTTTCTTTGTTTTTTTTATTTGAAATTTTACATTAAATATTTAGCAGCGAAGCTAGGTGTTACTTTTTTGTCACCTCGCACTTTGTTCTGTTGTAGGAGTTCCGAGATAGTCCCGTTGTGGCCTCGGCGGCCTCTAATTTGGACCATGGCCACGTTAACCCCATCGCCAACGGGGAGTTCACGATATTCACCCCCCTGTCGACGTCGCCCTACAACAATAACGTGTTTCTTGCCAACGAACGAATAATCGTAAGTATTGATTATAGGTTTTTCATTTTCTCGTTGTTATGCCCGAGCACAACTACGCCGTGTTGCCGATGTGCGGATTTTTCCCCAGTTCTAGGGATTTTTCGGAATTGCTAAAAGAGGTCGTGGATTGCGACATATACGGGGCGGAACATTGAATGGGGTCACATTTATACATATTTTACAAAAAAATTTCATAAGTGGTTGACTCCCTCTTAAAATTAACGAGCGTTCAAATAAAAACGTGGTCAAGTTGGTTCTGAAAATTTGGACGTAGGGCGAAGCGTATAGCAATTGAACTTAAACGTCATCTGTCAAAGCGCTATATCGCCGCTATCAATTTGAATATTTTCGTTTTAAAAAGCGTTTAAAATGGTGTTTTCTCAAGAAGAAAAAGTGTTTATCATAGAGTCCTACTTTAGAAATGGACGCATGATTGATGGAATATGGAAGTATTCTATTGAGGAATGTTTCATAGAATTTCAAAATCAATTTCCCGGCGTTGTTGAGTACAAAATTTTTCAAAGTGCAGTTCAGCGTTGTGTTAATGTTTTTCGTGAAACGGGCAGTGTAACAAGAAAAGAAGGAAGCGGCCGACCTAAAAAGCGGACTGAAGAATTAAAAGAAAATGTACGTGTTTTATCACAAATGGTGGGAGTATCAGTCGGTACCTGCCACACAGTGTTAAAAAAAGATTTGCGTTTGTTCTCCTATCGTTTAACTTGTCAGCAAGAACTTCATGAAGTTGATTTTCCGCGACGGGCTGTATTTTGTGAATGGTTTTTAAACAACTACGGTGAACTTCATAATATCACCTTTTTTTCTGATGAAGCCTGGTTTCATTTAAGTGGTTACGTAAACTCACAGAATATGAGAATGTGGTCTTCTAAAAAACCAGGTAACTTTTTTGTCGAGGGCCCTCTACACGCTCAAAAAATTGGAGTTTGGTGTGCTCTCAATCGAAGGAGGATTTATGGACCTATTTTTTTTAATGGTACTCTTACTGCGCAAAGGTATAGAGAAGAAATTATCGCTCCTTTTGTTAACCAGCTGGAAGAAAACGAAATTACAAACTTTTACTTTCAACAAGATGGCGCAAGGGCACATACGGCAGGCGAGACGATGAATATGTTGAGGGAAGTTTTCCAAAATCGACTAATAAGTCTCAATGCTGAACATGAATTTCCACCGAGGTCATGTGATATTACGCCGTGTGATTTATTTTTGTGGCCTTACCTTAAAAACACTATTTTTGAACTGCCTATTCCTGATTTAAACCATCTGCAGGCTCGATTTATAGACAAGATGCGTGAAATTAACAATACCCCGAGCGTCTTAGAAAATGTCTTTAATTCTTTGAGGAACAGGTGTGAAAAGTGCTTGGAACAAGGAGGGGGACACTTTCAGCAGCTCCTTTAATTGTTTGTTATTGTTATCACGATTATTCTTTAGAATAAAGTTATATAGTCATTTTCGTTATTGAAACTGACAGCTGCTGTACAGCGCGTTGAGAAATGAGGTTAAGTTGGTCGCTATAAGCTACTCCCTACGTCCAATGTGTCAGAGCCAACTTCGACCACTTTTTTATTTGAACGCTCGTTATATTCGAAGTTGTTTTAAAGTACAGGCACCTTTGTGTTCTAAGTAAAACAGTATATGGGTTGCCATCTGCTAAACCTATCTTTAAAAAAATTTACAGTTGCGAAGTAATCGTAATCCGGTATCACAGGAATAAAGCAGAAACAACCATAAGAAAAAAAAACCAAAGGTATTCTACCGCTTGCCGTTACTGTTACGTTACGATCCATTTTGTATCATTGCTTATAGTGACTCATGCTGTTGTTAGTTAAAAATACCGTCCCACTTCGTTAGCAGACAAACAATGCAGTTGACTGTCGAGATGTGGGAAATCGATTTGAAGGTTTGTTTCTCTTAATCTTTTGCCGAATCACTTTGCCACGCGAAAACGGCGATGAGACCTGTTGGCAAGCTCGCTGGATTTCGCCAGATTTACGATTTGGGATCACGTCTTCTTTCCCACATGTTTCCTGTTTTCTTTTTCTACGTTTGTTTTTAACTTGAAATGATTCAGGCTGTTGTTAACGGCGTTGCTTCTTGGAAGTCGATCAAATTTGTAATTTTAAAAATATTTTTCATCCCTTCTTAAATTGTTTAATTTAATACGACGTAGACATTTGTTCCGCATTCTCGTTTTCGTCGAAATGCCCCTTTTTACAAAGAGTGCTTCGAAAATAAAAGATCACGTACCCTAAACGAAATTTTGACAGTTCAGTAAAATTTTCAACAACGGTATCGAAGTTCAGATAGGTACCTAATTAAAAATGCAGTTTGCACAATTCATCTGAACTGTCAAATTTTCGTGGTAGGTAATAGTCGGATGTTTTGTTTTCGAAGCATGTTTCGTAAAAGTAAATAATGTGATGTCGATGCAAAGACAAAAAAGCGAACCATTAGACCAGGGTCGATAATTTTTGAAACCAAAAAAAATTATAGTAGGATGAAACCCATTGGAAAAGAAAGAGAATGTAACAGAAATGAAAGGAAAAATAATTTACGGGCGATCTGAGGTCGGGAAGGGGTAGGGGGTGAGTTTTTAAGGGTAAAAAACGGTTTCCCTTGATTTCCAGAAAAACTACAAGTCTTATGGAAAAAAGTTAAATGACAAAGTTGTAGGTAATAAAAAGATCTACAACTTTAGTATTTACACTTTTTTCTCATAACCTCAAAATTTATGTGAAAAATTCAAATAACCAAGTTTTTGGGTTTTTATTTATCTTTTACAAAAAAAAATTATTTACACGAAATTTGGTGAAAACATACCTATTTATGTCCCAAACACGCTGTAATTTTTTTGATTTGAAATATTTATTTTTTCACCTTATTTTTACTTAATATCGAAAAAGCACCCTAATTTTCAATCGAAAATTCTCACGTCAAAATATCTGCTTTTTTAAAAACGTCGGTGGGCTTTTTCTTCGTTGAAATCTCTACTTTCTGATGGTGTAAAAAAATATATACATTACTATGGTAAGTTTTCTCAGGAAATGCAAAGAAACGAACTAGAATCCGAAAATTTTTTTCTAATCATTATGTACAATTTTGAGCTATTTATTAAAATTTACACTTTAATTACTCGAAAAACGTAAGATTCCATGTTACATTGATAAACAAAAAAATTACAAGTCGAAATATACTATTATAATTAACAACCAAATAAGTTAATAAAGTTAATATTTAATAAGACATCTACAATATTTTGAGAAAGTTGTAGAATCTTCTTTCGTTTCTTTGCATTTCCTGAGAAAACTTACCATAGTAATGTATATTTTTTTTACACCATCAGAAAGTAGAGATTTCAACGAAGAAAAAGCCCACCGACGTTTTTAAAAAAGCAGATATTTTGACGTGAGAATTTTCGATTGAAAATTAGGGTGCTTTTTCGATATTAAGTAAAAATAAGGTGAAAAAATAAATATTTCAAATCAAAAAAATTACAGCGTGTTTGGGACATAAATAGGTAAGTTTTCACCAAATTTCGTGAAAAAAAAATTTTTTTGTAAAAGATAAAAATTAAAAACCAAAAACTTGGTTATTTGAATTTTTCACATAAATTTTGAGGTTATGTGAAAAAAGTGTAAATACAAAAGTTGTAGATCTTTTTATTACCTACAACTTTGCCATTTAACTTTTTTCCATAAGACTTGTAGTTTTTCCGGAAATCAAGATAAACCGTTTTTTACCCTTAAAAACTCACCCCCTTCCCCTTCCCGACCTCAGATCGCCCCTAAATTATTTTTCTTTTCATTTCTGTTCTATTCTCTTCCTTTTCCAATGGGTTTCATCCTACTATAATTTTTTTTCACTTTTTACCATTTTTGAAGGCTTAATGCACTGGTCTACATATCATATGACAGAATATTATTGCAAGTAGAAAAATTCTCTTCTAAAATTTTAGTTAGAAATATCTATCTATTTTATAATTAAGATTTCGCGAAGAAACGTCTGTTTCAAATGTTTTCCGACTTGATGGTTTAAAACCGTCGCCGCCTAGAAAAAACTTCAACGTTTCTCATACGATGTCTGTATCTATCTAGCCGGCTAGTGATAGTCGACAATACAAAATGTCAACTGTGTGTGTGATTACGGTGTAAAAAATCGCGTGTGCTATCGAGATGAATATTTTTATATATTTGCAGGACGACGTAAGTACAAGCGATAACTGACGAATGTTAGTGTTAGATTAAAGTTATTGTTGGTTAGAGAAAGGAAATAATATCATACGGGCGAAAGTTTTATATCAACCGCTCGGCATAGATAAACTACGAAAAAATGATAAGGAAAGTGAAATAAGTGACCGTGAAATTTATTTTATATATATCCTACAAAAATAATTGTCTATTGTTTGACTCCACGTGTATAAATGTAAAAATATCAGGTAATTACTGGCTTTAGTTAAATAAATTAAAAGCGGTAATGATTATTTATAAATTAAATTAAAAAAATAAACACATAAAGCCCCAAATACAGTACAGTCGATAATAATAGCTTAATTAAAATGCTCCTTCCTAAGATTTTTACGAAAATGTAAATACGCCAGTATTACGTGAAAAAATTAAATTTCGGGAAATTCGCAATATAAAACAGCTATTAGATCTCGTAGCCAGTAACATTGTCTAAAATGGTGTACCTACGTATGACCAGTCACAGTAATTGTTAGTCCTGCCAATTCATGCCGAATAATACATTCAGTTGCCATTCAACAGGTAGGTAGATTGTAGATTATAATGTTTCTGTAACACCGAGGTAGAAATTAGTATTTTTTTTTTAATAATAACCTAACCGGTACTTTCATAGCTGTTTACCGAGCGCAAAATTACATTTATAATAACAGGTGTGTAAAACTGTACCTACCTGTTAGATGAGAATCGGTTTCTCATCAATGGCCATATATTTATTATTAGGTAGGCATAACTTTTTAAAAACCGTCTTGGTTTAGTGATTAACATCGCGAGTTTGTTAAGCGTTGATAAAAGTAATAAAGCGATTTAAATTGTTCCATGGAGAAGGTTGTTCGAACTTATTAATAGAACTAATATTATTAATATACTTTTTATTCGATTATTAAAAATGAATTGATATTTTCTTTTATGTAAGTCGGTTAAGTAAAGGCATATATCGTGAAATTTAACCAACTTATGCAACATAAATATTATATAATTTAATTTTTAACGTTTTAAACCAACTATTCGCGTTTTATGTAAGAATTGCATAAGGAGGATATAGGTACTAGTAAAGTATGAAATTTGTAGATGTTCTAATGACTTATTCTTACTGAGAGAAAGGTATTTGATAAAATATCATTTCCAATGATACAATTTTATTGTACAACTAAATAGGTATACATTGAGACTTGCACAGTCACAAAAATCTGCAAAGAAAAAGGTTCGTAGTTATATTTTAAGTAACTAGGTTATAGGCACGTCATATTAAAATTATTGTTGTAAAATGAGTTTCACATAATTTAGTAAAATAAAAAAAATATGTTCATGCCAGTTTCCTGCATTCCTCTGTAAATATATGTTGCAAAGGATGCCTACTAATTGGGATAGATTATACGTCTGGCAAGGAAATTGTAAATGTAGCATTTTCACATGTCTTTAATTAGAAATGTTGAACATACTTTATGAAAGGAAGGAAAGGATTTTTAATTTTTATGCTTTATAGCGCAGATTCATATTTAAATTAAATAGTATTGTGTACAGGACTCTAATATATTCGTTTATATTGAAATTTCGAAATGAATTAAATAAGTATCTTAGTCCAACCAAATTATACTTGGACACTTTTTGACATAACCTCAAAATTTCCGAAAAAAATGCAAAAAACAGTTTTTTTTCTGATTTTTCGGTTTTTATTTCTCATTTTGCCGAAACTTGGTGAAAGTATACCTTTCTCTGTCTTAAATAACCTCAAATTTTTTTAGATAAAAAAAATCAAGAAGTTTCCGAGCTATTCATTTTTTTCAGCCCGAAACCCTTTTTTTCAAAGAAAAAATCTACTGAAAAAAATCATCGTACAGAGTTCTGCCGGTAATATTTTTTTTCGTTTTGACATACTTTTTGGTGAAATAAAAAAATCTGTAATAACATTTCAAAACATGCTCGAAAATGCGAAAAAAATAAAAACTGACTTGCAACAATGAATTTTTCAGTTATTAAAGTTAATAAAAGTCAATACAGCGTAAAATATCCAACAATTTTTTTTAATCCATAATTTAAAAAGTACCTAATAAAAAAATAATACGAATTTATGAAATATTTTATTATTTCTAATTAGTATTGCTAACAGTAGTAAAAAATTGTTGGGTATTTTGTGCGGTATTGACTTTTATACTACTTCATCCAATAGATATTTTGAAAGCGTTCAGAGCCGTACTCAGGAAAAATGTTAAATTATAGCTAAAACAAGCTAAAAACTTTTTAAGCAATTACAATAGTAATATCCCAGAATTAAAAATTACTTTAGATTTTGTCATAAAAATAGCAGAGACGTATTAAAAAAAATTAATCCGATGATGGCCCCTCGAAGACGAAACGTCGGATTGCAAAAATGTTAACGCCATTGTATAGAGCGAAAAATGTGGCATTGTAAATATGTAATTTATTTTAAAATTCGTTTTCAAATAAAACCAGAAAAAATTAAACGATTTAGCAAAATTTCGGGTTTTTCCGGATGTTTCCGGAACTACCCGGAATTTTAAAACTTTCTAAACAGCATAAAGCAGTTAGGTATAAAAAAACACAACTTTTTTCTAATCTGAGCCACCCCGTATCTCCTACCGTTTCCTAGATCCTAATGCTATCTCAACCTTATCTTGGACACACTGTATATCTATGAATTCATCAAACTTTAAAAAAAATAAGCACTAATCGATCCTACGGAAAAAAATTATTATTTATTTTATTTATTCACTATTCGACTTATGTTTATATAGCAATACTGTATAAAAATAGTTTTGGGTCAAACAATGAGACAGTTTTTTTTGTATTTTTTCCGTACAATTGAATGGTGTAATCAGTTTTTGATTTTGTTTTTAAATTTAAACAAATTATCAACAATTACTGAAAAATTCATTGCCGCAAGTCATTTTTTACTTTTTTTGCATTTTTGAGCATGTTTTTGAACTGTGATTACAAATTTTTTTATTTCACCAAAAAGTATGTCAAAACGAAAAAAATGATTACGGCAGAACTCTGTGCGATGATTTTTTTAAGAAGAATTTTTCTTTGAAAAGAAAGTGTTTCAATCCGAAAAAAATGAACATCTCAGAAACTTCTTAATTTTTTGATCTAAAAAAATTTGAGGTTATTTAAGACAGAGAAAGGTATACTTTCACCAAGTTTCGTCAAAATTAAATTATTTTTGCGGAAATGAGAAATAAAAAACGAAAAATCAGAAAAAAACCTGTTTATCGCATTTTTCTCGGAAATTTTGAGGTTATGTTAATTATGTTATCGGAATATACTTGAGCTCCATGTACATGTCATGTGAATTATAAAAAAATTCGCTATTACTCTAAAAATATTAGTAAATAACAAATTAATACTTATTGTAACTTTTTATAGAGCTTAATTAAAACCTGTTGCATGTTTTATAAAAAAATAATTACAATTATTTAGTTAACGAGTTTCTTAATATAAAACATAATTTGATTCCTGTATTTTTATTGTATATCGCTGCCAATATTTTTTTTTCTTTTAATTCATTTTATTGTGACGTATGAACTATTTAAAAAAACCTTGCCGAGTTACGGTACTTTTTTTGCAAGATTCCTGAAAAAAATTACAGTACGTCATCCAGTCGAATAGCTTTCCATGATAACCGAGAGTTTAAGCTTTAATATTTTGTAACATTCTTTCGTATACTTACTCGAGATAATTTTCAGACTCGAACGGCCGAAGATTTTGCATATGAAGATTTCGACGTCAGTTCCTGGTTCAGTAAGTAGTCGCACCTACCAAATTCTCGTGCAGTGTATCTCACATTTATCACTTGCAGATGAATCCGAAAGAGACTTTCCCAGAATAAAACTGAAGTATATCAAGGAACTGGGAAAAGGATGGTTCGGAAAGGTAATTATTCCTTTATTTAATCAGCGGTTTCTCGTTAAAGACTTTAAATGTTTTCTTTACCGATGAAAATCTGTTTTAACAGGTTGTCGAGGGGGCGGCGAGGGAGATACCACCAAACGAACAAAGTTGGACCCCCGTGGTGGTGCGGATTCTTGAAGCTTCTGCCAGTCGTAAGGAGAGGGTTTTATTTTTGAACGACGCCGCTATTTATAGATGTGGAGCGCATGCCAATGTTTTATCTTTAATAGGAAGATGTCTGGACACGGTTCCTTTACTGCTGCTCCAGGAATACTGTTCTCAGGTAAAATACGATTTTTCGAGTTTGTTTCTGCCATTGTTACTTACCGTTTCAGGGAGATTTGAAAAATTATTTAAGAAGCAAAAAGGAGAACGTGGAGCAACTGCTGTCGACCGACTACCCGCTGTTGTGGTGTTGTCAGCTAACGTCGGGACTGAAGCATCTCCACAGTAACGGAGTCACCCACCCGTAAGTATACCGGTAATTCCAGTACGGACCGATACAAAGACGGTCTTTGGTTGCAGAGATTTGGCGACTCGAAATTGTCAGCTGGCCTCCGACTTGACCCTAAAAATAGGGGACTACAGCCTCTCGGAGAACAAATACCCCGAAGATTACTACCAAGGCTCACCGAGAGTACCCGTGCGGTGGTGCTCCCCGGAATCCCTCACGTGCACCCCAACGACCATCCAGCCTAAGAAGATCACCACCGAGAGTAATATTTGGTCGTTGGGGGTGACCATGTGGGAGGTGTGCGAGTGCGGCGGGCAGCCTTACTGCACGTTGAGCGACGACGAGGTCGTTTCGCAGGTTTTCGGCCCGCCCAACGTCCGACTGTCCAGGCCTAGCTTTCCCGTTCTCTACACGGACTACTTGTACCGTCTGATGCAGCTGTGTTGGAACAACGCCGAATCTCGCCCCACCGTGTCTCAGATCGATCTGATGCTGTCGGACCTGTGGCAGGTCTATAAAAACACGAAATCCAGCACTTTGTCTGTCGACGAATTCGATAAGAGATGGGAACTGTTCAAACCGAATTCGGTAGTAGTCCCCGATGCCGAAACGGAAGATTCCGAAACGAACATCACCAAACCCCTATCGCCTAGTCTGAACAACTTGCATGGGTCGCTGGATAATTTACTGGACCCCGGCGACCAAATGGAGTTGTGGCTGGAAAACGTAACGAAGGGCGGGGATTTCTCGCTTGCCAAAAGCACATCGGACGTCGTTTTGAGTATAGACGACCCGATAATATCGGAAATGTCCGGCTCGGAGTCGAGCGACCGGGGCAGCCCCAAACAGAAAAAATCAAAATTAAAATCAAAAATAGACTTCGATCCGAACATAAGATTCCGCGACGGTAACATCAAACAACCGTACAACTTCTCGGACAGCGCGCTGTTCTCGCAGAGGACGACGAGCAGCGAGAGCGAGACGGAGGACGAGAACTGGAGGAAGAAGGTGGAGAGGGGCGCGTACACCGAGAAGGTGAGGCTGAAGTCGAGATCGGTGGCGGACCTGATGATCCTGACCCACGTGGACTACTCCGAGAGCGAATCGGAGACGCCCCTGCCCAGCCTGGACCACAGGGTGAACTACAGGAACGTCAGGTACGCGCCCAGGAACAATCTGGAGAACGCGAGCCTGACTTACGGGAGCGAGGGTAATTTATTGAGCGTACACGACACCTTCCAAGAAGAACTGAAGAAGCTGAAGGAGGAGCGTAGGGACAGTCTTCTTTTCGTACCTGATAATCATAGTCAAAATAGTTTTAATAAGTTGGATAGTAGCAGTCATAATTTCTCGGTGGGGGAGTTGACGTTGAGCGACCCGAACCTGAACGGCACGACCGACTCCACGAGCAAGCGGCTGATGCGCGAGCTGAACCGCGTGGCCGAAATCCAACCGGCCAGTCAAGTTTTTAATGTGTTCAGTGTTACCATAGATAAGTTCAAGCCTATCCATGTAAATAGTTGTACGTTAAGTGACATTATCAACTTCAGTGATATCGGACCTACTCGTACGTCCGAGCAAAACGGCAAGAGGAATTACGCAGAAGCGCCCGTCGGGGAAGTGGATTTCCGTGATAGAAACAATAAACGCATATCAGATTTTACTACCGAGACATATCCGTCCGCTTCCGACGTCAACGATCGAATAACCGAAGCGGACCTGTATCAATTATCAAACGGCGCCTGTTGGCGGGATAAAAGTACAAAATCTGACGATATCGAACCGTTTCCTCTTAAAGAAACGAGCGAAGCTGTACACACCCCAGAAATCGACGGAGAGAGTACCGTCGGCACCGTAAACCCCGTATTCTTTAACGACCTGTTGACTTCTGATCTAGAAACGGAATTCTCGTCGGGTAACACGGAGAGCAACACTGAACCTTCGACGCCGGGCACCGTCGTGCATCGTAGACCCTCGGCAGACGACGACAAACCTCCCGACTGGAATTTTGCCTGCGATATTCACAACTCAAGTGAAACGTCGGACGGCGACTTACAAGAAACGGCGCCCTATGACACTCGAGTTAACTCCGAAAAAGGTAATTGCGAGCAATCGATCCGAGAAGTGGACGATAAATTTGTGGTGCCAAAACTCTCCGAGATAATAGAAAGTAGAGGAGTCGCCCCCGGCTGTCGTGGCGGTCCAAATAAAAATTCAACTCAAAAAATTAACGAATCTCAAGGTACCAACGGAGAGAACAAAGGATTACCGGAAGCGTCGAAACTACGGGGGATTATTCAAAGTAAAATTTTTATCGATAACGAGATTCTAATGGATCGGATCGCTTCGTTTTCTAACCACGCGAAGGATAGTGAATATGGTGAATTCCAAAATGAGGGTGGCGTTGACTCGAACAAGGTACATCAAATCGATGAAAACAAAGGTTTTGATGTGAAAAACGATTTTGAGGTGTCGCAAGATGAGACACTTTGCGAAGCGAAGAACGACGCTCTAATACCGAAATTATCGGAAATTATTAAACGTAAAGGGTTTATCCTCGCTGAAAATTCACCCTCGGAAACTGATAAACACCTACCGGATTTAAAACTGGGCCCGGATACAGAGTTTTCCGAATTTCCCGAAGTTATCCAAATTAACAATATTTATGAACAGAGCAAAGAAACCGAGAACTTAATCTGTGAACAAAAACATCTTCAAAATCCAGACGTTGTCGATTTAAATGACGTAATCCTTATCGACGTAAACGGAGCCTCCGACGAAGAAAAAAAATCGCAAGTGCCAAAGGAATACGAAGATTTACGTTGTGAAACAAAAAGTAACGCACGGGTGCCAAAATTATCGGAGATTATTAAAAGTAAAATTGGCGGTGACGAAAATTCAAAGGGTACATATCAAGTTAATCCACACGACGAGGCGATTACGGAAGGGAACAGTCGTCTTCCAAGTTCAGAGTGTGCCCCGCCCGAAATCGAATCTTTTAGTGACCAAACTGGGTTCGAAGAGGCAAAAGATAAGTCGGTCGAGGATTCAAGTCACGACGTACATGAAAAATCCCAAAGTACGAGTGGAGTTGACGCAAATACCGTCATTGGTCAGGTGGAAAATTCAAGCTGCGAGGAACACAAAAATGTCGATCTAGACGACACGGTCCTTATTAATGTGAAGGAAGCTCCCGAAAAGAACGATATTCAGATTTCCGAGAGGACTGATTCTCATCACTTTGAACCACGTACGGTTGGTTTAAACCGAAAACCGCAAGAATTCCGAAATAAGAATAGCGTCGATGTGAACGACATATTCCTCATGGATAAGATTTCAGAAAAGGAGAGCCATCTGGAGGAATCGATAACAAACATTCTGATAAATACTGTAAGCTCGGTAGAAAATTCAAACCGAGGATTAGAGGAACACAGAAATATCGATCTCAATCCTAAAGAGAACAATTTAAAGATTCTCGTCGGAAATGCTTCGGATTACAGTGAATTTGATGCAGTCGATTCAACTGAAGGCTGCGAATCTCAAGAAAAATTGCAGAAAAAGGATATCGTTGATTTAAACGAGGTGGTTCTCATTGATCTAAACAAAGCTACCAGGGAGGGCAATTCTCAGATTCCCGAAAGTGGCGAATCCAAACCAAATGCATTTGATTCAACCGAAATTCTCGGACCACAAGAAAGATTCCAAAATATTATAGATTTAAACGAAATAGTTCTTGTTGGTGTAAATGATGCACCCGAAGAGAACAATTTTCAGATTCCGGAAAGAAATGGATTCGAACCAAATGCTGTTGATTTAATTGGAAACGTCAAACTTAAAGAAACGTTACAAGAAATTAATATCGTCGATTTAAACGAGATAGTTTTGGCTGATGTAAGTGAAGCTCGTAGAGAGAACAACTTGAATTTTTCTGAGAAAAGTGATTTCGAATCTAACGCAGTTTGTTCGTCGGAAACCTGCAAACCACAAGAAAAATTCCAAAATCATCAAGATATCGTCATCGTAAGCGAAACTTCCAAAATCGAGAATAATTTGCAGGTACCGAAACTCTCCGAAATTATTCTCTGTAAGCGAGACATAAGTGACCCTTTGCTGAAAGCAGAAACAGTTTTAAATGGAGATTCAGCCGAGACGATAGTTGAACTGTCCGAGGATACGCTTAACAAAAATATCGCGTCTGAAAGTTCAGGAAAAGACCAAAGTGATACAGATAGATCCACCGAACAAAATGAATCTCATATATGTGATACGAACGATTTTCTCGAATCTAAGAGTACCGACGAAAGAAAACACACCGGGTTTATTGAAAACGATGGTTCCTCAGAAAATTTCAAAGTTAATTCGATAACGTTCGACTCGAGCGGTGACCAGGAGCTAGCAGTACCCAGCGCTTCTAATTTAAGCGTTTTCACGAGCACCCCCGCGTCGCAGAAAAATTTCATTCCACGGAAAGACGCTCATTCGAATTTAAAACTGTTCGATACACCGACGGCAAAGAGAGAGAACAAGACCTTCTGTTCCGATCTGGTTCCTTTGGATACCAGCAAAGAACTGAATTATTCCCTAGAGACTTGGGATAGCTTCTTAGGAAAAACGTTGGACGCCCAGAAGGATGTACAGAACGAAAACCTATTCGACAGTTTTTCTTCGGAGCCCCACAGCCTTCTGTTCGTCGAGAATGGGAACGACTTGGTGCAACCGCACGAATACGCCGAAGCGAAGAACGAACCTAACGTTAATAACGGCACTTTCGTTATCGAAGCCAAAAACGAGAACACCTTTGTTCTAGATAACGAGTCGAAGAACGAAACGTTCGTTTTGAACAAATCAGAGTCCGAAACCGAAGGTATTTATTAATACTATAAAACTATTATTAACCTTGTACGAACAACTGGTTATTTTAGATGCGGTGGATAACGCGGCTTGGGGAAGCGGCGGCGGATGGTTCCTACACCCTCAAACCGGCAACAAGGAACCGTCCGGGACGATGGAAGTTAGGGAGAATGCCGGCAGTTACGTCGGTTTTGGCATAGACGACGAAATCATGGCGGCGATCAGGAACGAGCTTTTGAATAAACTGCCACACGCTCAAGTAAGAACGTGCGATCTATCGGTGAACGTTACGATAACATTTTGGTTTGCTAGGTAGCGCCGAGCGAGAAAGTTGCGGAGGTGGAGGAGTGGGACTCTGGCGAAAAGAACGAGGTCTTCCTGAAGTACAACATTTATAATCCGCCCCTGTCGCCGATCATCGAGGAGAGTTACATTGAGGAGTGCGATATCGTTTCGCCCAGGTGAGGATATTTGTGTTTATTTAATTTGTTCGTCTCACTAAAAAAATAAAAAATTTTACGAGGTAATACGAAACACTTCACTGTTGTCATATCCCATCAGGTGGATTGTTATTATTTATGCAGCTCACCTAATCGAGTTCAAAGTCGGAGATTATTGACATTGATATTCATGAACTAAACACAGTGCTTCAAAATAATAGTAACAAGTACAATTTAATTAAAAACTTTTGTTTCTAAAATCGTAATTTTAGAAAAAAAAAAATCAACAGATTTAAATTTTGTACCAGTTTGTTTTGTTTTGATTTAGACAAGAAAGCGATAATGAGGAGAGCGAATGGTCGGAACCCGATCTGCCGGAAACGTTACCCCCGGAAGCGGAAAGTCAGTCCGCCCACACTTACGACAGTCAGATGAAGGGGCCCCACCATCGACACACCCCCAGCCAGGACTCTTGCTGTTCCAACGATACGCTTTTCAACCTTGAAGATCTGACGTGCGTCGCCGGAGACGCCGAAAAGGAAAATGATCTCGTAAAATGTGACGTTCCCGAAACGGAAGTTCCAGTCGAGAATATATTGGAAAGTAATGAGGTTACGTTCGAAGAGATATGCGTGGACTTCGAGGAAAAAACCCCAAACACGATTCCCGATAACGTTAACGAGACGGGTGTAAAATCCGAGACAAATAACAACACCAAAGACGAGAATTTAAATAGCACGAATGCGGAAGAAACGGAGGACCTCCAGACGGGTTCCAATTTGAATATCGAAGGTGATCGGGGGAGAAACGCGTCCGAAATGAAAAATAACGAAAGCAGGGATTATATAAGCGAATTCATCACCCAAGAAATCGAACACAGTTCTAAACAGTCCAGCGAAGGATCAAGTTCCGAATCGACGGAAGGAAACGCGATGGTTTTCAAGAAGACCCAAGTCGCCCCGCTACCGTCTCCCGAGGATAACCCCTGGAAGCAACTGCCCGCCTCCTTGTTGAGCTACGACAAAGTAATCTCTCAAAACAATTCGCTACTCTTGCCCGCGACTGAATCAAACGACGTAGTACCTGAATTCAACGATCTTCCCGAACCCAATGGTATAACGGAATCTCAACACGAACCCGTCGGCGAGGAGTGCTCGACGTTTCAAGACGATGACGTTCACGGGAACATCAAACACGAACAACCGGATTATGAAAATATCAAAGTGAAGGAACCGTTCTACGAGAACGTGAAAGACGCCCCGCCGGTTTACGAAAACGTGAAAGACGCGCAACCCGTCTATGAAAACTTCGATGTTTCCAGCGATATTTATAACGAAGTGGACTACGTGAACATAGTGAATCTGGAGAACAGCAAGAATAACGTCGAGTACATGAACGAGAAGAAAGACTGTGCCGTCTGCGATCAGGACGATAATAAAATCGAGACCGGCCGCGACGAGGACATATTCGGCATGCTGACCGATATAAAATTCAACGGGCCCACCGAAAACCAGTTAATTTCGACGTCGTTCAGCGAGAGCAACGATATCAACGACGAACAGGATTGGGACAGCGGTTCGGACACGAGGTCGAGTTCTAGCGGCGAGTTTATTTGGAAGGTGAGTTCCTTGCTTGGCGGTAGCGTGTGCGTTTTGGATAAGTTGGATAATGTTTGAATGTTGGCGATTTATAAACTTTTTTCGTTGCCGTTCCCATTCACATTGATGGATACGGAGAGTAATAAAGAGTATAAGAACGGCAACAAACAGGGTTTTATAAACAAGCCTCGATGTGCTGTTGCAATCGATACAAAGTAGTAAATATTGCGGAATGTTTTGTGACTAATCGGAGTTTAATTATTCAGTGTTGTAGTCTTGCAAATTGTTTTTGTTTTGAATTAAAGAGGAAAAGATGGAAACATTTTGAGAAAAAGGGGGGAAGCAAATAGTGCAATTGAGATAGTAATATTTTATGGACGACTTGTTTAAATGAACGACTCATTGGAAGGAATAATTACTCATTCAAAAAAATGACTCGTTCAAATGAAATACTCATTCGAGGGAACTACTCATACAACTGATTGACTAATTGAAACAATTTGGTCAAATGAACCTTAAAAGGAATTACTCGTTCAAATAGAATACTCATTCGAGAGAATTACTCATTCAACTGAAGGACTCATTGAAAGGATTTATTCATACAAATTAACGACTCACTCAATTGAATGACTCATTCAAATGAAATACCCATTCGAGAGAATTACTCATTCAAATGAACGACTCGTTCAAATGAAATGCTCATTCGAGGGAACTATTCGTACAACTGATTGACTAATTGAATCAATCTGTTCAAATGAACCTTAAAAGGAATTACCCGTTCAAACAAAATACTCATTCGAGAGAATTACTCATTCAACTGAACGACTCATTGAAAGGATTTATTCATACAAATGAACTCACTAAATTGAATGACTCGTTCAAATGAAATACCCATTTGAGAGAATTACTCATTCAAATGAACGACTCGTTCGATCATCGCACATACCTAATTCACCTCCACAGAAACGTACACCCTGTATAAGTGCAGGTATGCATTAAAATATAAGGAATTTTACCTAAATTGAACTGAATGCTTCTTTGCAAATCGCAATTGCATAGTCTCTAGTGGAAGAAGTAAAACTGTTGCTTCCCCAGCTTTTTCAAAATGTAAACGTAACTAATAGATACTCCCGAAGGAGCGAAAAAGTTGATTCGCGTACCTCGAGACGAAACATCTATCGTGCCACGCAAAGTCGATTTTATCAACCTTTTCGCTCCCGACCTTTCGTAAGCTTCTGTCCTCGTGCTACTGCGAATAAATCTCTGTCTGTTATGTGTTCGTGATATCAGGAGGGGGAGCATGAGGAGTCTCTCAAGGCCCTACGAGCTGCCCCGCAAGACGTGGTAAGTGATCGGTAACCCGACGATTGTCACGTAAATTTCCGAGGTTTACTTTAACGTGCCGTGTCGTTCCTGTTTAGTTGGAAGACGTCAAACCGATGGAAGGGATAGCGGAGGAGAGCACCGACGATGAGAGCGACGTGAGCAGCGGCACCAGCGATGAGGAGGGGGAGGCGCCCGAGTTTGTCCCGTCTGCGTGGGATAAGTTTGCCACCCCGATGAAGTCAGCCCTCAGGTCGCCGGAGAAAACCCTCGGAAAGACGGAGAAGGTGAGAAGGATTTATAGAATCTAATCTGTTCTAATCAACTTAGGCCCCAAAATTGTTACGCCGAGTGTAATTAATGACCCTTCGACCTCTAACTAAATAATAACGTTTCCATAATTTTTCAGAATAAATCGAAAGGCGTTTGGTTTAAGAAACAAAAGTACCACTGTGTCTATGAATATCCAAGGGAACCCGAGAGCCCCGTTTTACAGAGTCACGATTTATGGAAACCTCAATTGGATTACAGTTCGTTTACAGGTAAAATATGTTCAAATGTTATATTTTTTTTATTTATTTTAAATACGAAGAAATAATAATAAGCAGCAAATAATTTTTAAAATTACAAACAGTTCATCGTAGTGTTGAGATAAAAAAAAATGTGTCGGCGAAAAATGGTGTAGGGAAATCGCTGGAATTTATTTTTTGAGTTCCTCAGTTTGCCGCAATAAGCATTACAAAAACGTATTTTTGTTCTTTGTTTTCATTTTAATCCCGAGTAAATTTTGTCATTTAATTTAATAATTTCTATTGAAATTTTAGTATAACGGACCCTTGAAATATTATCGGTTCATTCTCTGATAGAGTAGTTCAAACGTCTCAGTATTGGTGATCTGGATCAGCGAGTTGTAAAACTTGTTCTACGGAAGAAATATCTTTCTTAACCTGAGTAGGGTGTTAAAATCTTGGTAGTCGTTAAAATTTCTACTATAAATTTATATTGCAGAGAATAAAATATATGTGACCGTTAAAGTACACAGAATACACAAAATCGTTGCCCTACGCGAAGTCAATAAGGATATTTCCAACACCGCACGTAGAAATTTTGATATTGGCCGATTCAGTATTACCAAACAAGTGGGACGTTTGAACTACTCTATCAAATTTTTATTTTTTTTAACAGCTCGCCAAGTTACTTTACCATTAACGGTCACTAAAAATTTTGATAATCAAGATACAAATTCATTAAAGCTTCATATTTTATCACGCCTTTAAAATTTAACGGCAAGATATAGATCGGATTACAAAATTTTGTCGTGACGTCGTGTTAAAATTACTTTGATCGATCTTTGGTTCGTTAATCAGTATTTTTGGTATAAAACTGTTTTTTAGGTGTTACATTATTTTACGTAGGCAAATATTACATCAGACTAAGTCTGTGAAATATTTTTTCATACAAAAAACATTGTTTTTGGGAGCGTGTAACGAAGTCGAAGTATATTTTATTACTTTTCAGTTAAATTTCTTGCGGAGTTTAATTTAACAGCACACGAATTTTTTCCTGCTTAAGATTTCTGCAAACATAACCTGACCCGTATTTTCATTCATTTCATAATCATCGATCACACCTTCCCATGATTTGTACTACCTTGTACTGAATACTCAATGAATCGATTTCAGACTGGGAATTTGACGCAGACACATATTTCCCCACATCGGTGGACGATAACGATATTTTCCCAAGTGGGTATAGCTACCAACCCAAAAGCGTTTCCAGTAGAAATCTGTACCAACTGACCAATATATCTGATTTTGTCCCAAGTAAGACGCCGCGAAACAATTTAATTTTTCATTTTAACACTTTATTTTGTAGGTATCGCCGGCCTGGAAGACGAGTTTTTCGTTAGTAGTTCCGCGAGGCCCTTCGACGCCGTCAGTAATCTGAGCTCGCAGTTCTTCCCGGGCGGCTCCGCCTGGAACGGGGAGAATGCGACCCCGGACAGCGGCATGGAAGACGGCACGCCGGGCAGCTCGACGGAGACGAACGAACCCGACGTAAAGACGCATTTGGTCGTGAGTCTGAAGAACTTGGCGTCGGAGGCTGTTAAAAAAAGTAAGCAGACGAGCATCAAGAGCAACGACTCCCTAGGCGGCCTCAGGCACACCAGGAACAAGTTAAAATTAGATCTGCCGCCAAGTCCGAGCGCTTTCACCTCTACGAAGATGTTCACCGTGGAGCCCATGCCGGAGCCGGTGATCAGGGAGAAGCCGACGTTTACGACGTTTGGGAAGAGCAGGTTTTCGGTCCAACATGTGGATACGCCGCCGGACGAATCGAAGAATAAGAACGTCTCGTTCGAGGCCTTGCCGTACAAGCCGTTGGCAGAAATGGAGCCCTGCGAGGATGTCGATCACCAAAGCAAGTTCAGCCGGGAAAAGCACATTTTACAGGATAAATTCGATTGCGGCAAAGGGCACAGCGAGTTCATAAGGGGAGAAGCTAGTTTGCTGGACAGCGCAGACGAAGATAGCGGCATCGAGTCCAGCACGCTCGAGAGAAAAACGAGTAACTATGGCCTGCTGCAGTGAAGCAGTAACTTCTTTGTTGGAATTGATTTTTGTTGTTACGGGAACGTAAAAGGGCCGGATATTTATCTTTTTTGTCTGTTTAAAATTTTGAATTCTGTTTTTATCACTTTTATTCCCAATTTAAGAAATTTTGGGGTTAAATGAGAAATTTTAATTCGAACTTGAAACTTTGTGTTTAAACTCGAAATTTCGCAATTTAACTAGAAATTTCTCGCTTCTACTTTGAATTTCGTTTATCAACTTGAAATTTCAAGTTTTTGAATTAGCAAATTTGAATTTA